CCCCAAAACCCCAAAACCCCAAAACCCCAAAACCCCTATTGTTCAATAATTAATTGAAACGTTTACTTCCTCTTTCTTAGAGCCAGTTGATTTCTACATCTTGAGCTTCATTTGTCTCTTCAATAATTCTCATTACTCTTTCATGGGTCTCCATAATTTTCTTCTTGTTAATAACCTCTTCCATTGTCCATTCTAAACCTTCTAGAGGTTGTGATCTAAGAGAAGGAAGAAAAACTTTGAAAATGTTTTTGGTTCCAAAGGTGACATAAATGTTATCACAAATACTTGGAAATCCATAAGTCTTGCCTTCATTAACTTCCCCTTCCATACTTTGAAGGTATTCTATTTGTGGAATACCCTTTAGTCAGAGATACCACTGCCAGCAATTAAAAAAACTCATTGCTATGAATATCCCTACATGAACTCCGATCATGACCTGGCTTCACATTGGGAAATTTTTGTAATATGGATGGCTTCTTACATGCCACATTATCATCCCAATAAAGATATTTGATACAGGCAAATAAAATATGAATAGCAGGAAGTATCTTAGGTTATTTTAACCCAAGACAATTGTTGACCCAAGGACAATGATGGTCCATATTAACAACGCAATTCCTACAAACTGAACAGTGGTGAAATCTCAAGGGCTTTGCAGGTACCTTGTTTATCCCTGTCTCTTCATCGTGGTTATCTAAGAACTTTCATTTATGTCATCTATATTAAACAATAAGAATATGCTGAGAAGTATTCTCAAAGAACGAATGTGAATGAAGTTATATTCTCACCTAATTATCCAGTCATCATCAATATAATCAATAGTTTTCTTAGTATGTCTCATACATGCTTTCAAGTCTTTATTCACAATCGCATTAGTTGGTCTGTTTTTCTTTAATTCATAATTAGGATTTTCATGATGCTAGATACTATGTTAGCTTCTTATGAGATAAATAGATCATAAATAACTATTACCTCTTTATCTCTTGCATCATAGAATTCTTGCAACTTTCCAGGGCTTATTAGCCATGTCATTGTGTAATTAAATACAATATTAAACAACAAAATGAAGAATATAATTGTCAAAATCATACTCTGAGAGACTCCAAATATGTGCGAATCTGGAGATGACAAAGGAAAATATGGCACCTTAGAGACATAGAGTATAGGAAGGTATCAGCAGAAATACATATATCAATTGAACCCTAAGAGTCCATAAACTGAGAGGACAAGTACAGGCCCTATCACATTGACTCCTTGAGAAATATCAGCACTCTTCAGATTTTCGACCAACATTTCAATAAATTATATAAGTTAAGGGGTTTTGGGGTTTTGGGGTTTTGGGGTTTTGGGG